AGGGGAACATTCCTGGCTAATGATTCCTGCACAGGTTTGCAGCTCCTCTCCCCCCAGGTGACAGCAGGGAAGTGTGCAGCATCCTTGCCCCCTGCAGACCTCAAGGGAAGGCTGTGGATGAGCAAGTGGAGATCTGCTCTTGTATCGCTGTCACTCCTCTTGTCATGGCCTGTAAACATCCCCGGCTCTGTTAATTAGCGCTTCCCTGGGTGGTTCATTATCCAGCTGGGAATTTGAATTAGTTCCAGTGACCTGACATTCCCACAAATGCTATTGGAAACCCCAAAGGCCATCGTGCTGAGCAGCATGGGGTGCCTGTGTGTTGTGATCCTGTGCTGTTTCTGTCCCCCAGCTGCACATGAGGATCCACGCGGCGTACGGATCCACCAAGGACATCTCCGTGTACAGCTCCATCAGCCTCCCGCCCACGCACATCTACATCGTTGGTCGACCCACCAAGAAGCTGCAGAGCCAGTGTCAGGTAGGACACGAGGACTTCCCGTGGGAGGGAGGTGGGAATTTGGTCATCACGGGTGTGGTGACTGAGCTAGTGTTGGCCAGCAGGGCAGGGACTGTCCCAGGTAGCAGGGCCACAAAATGGGTCTGAGTATTTCCGTGGCCGGTCACCCTAGAGAAGCCGGCAGAGCGAACGTCCCTGGCTGCCAGTGGCTCTGAGGGAAACGTGTCCCACCTCTCTAACGCTGCCCTCGCCCCACAGTTCATCACGGAGGGCTACGCAGCCCACCTGGCCCAGCTGGAGTACAACCACCGCGCGCGCCCCGCCAAGAACACCACGCGCATGGCGCTGCGCAAGGGCAGCTTCAGGCTGCCCAGCCAGGCCGAGTTCCTGCGCAAGAGGAACCACCTGCTGCGGACCATCTCCGCCCAGCCCTCGGCCAGCGGCGCCGGCCACCGGCCCGAGCGCACCCAGAGCCAGTCGGACAGCGACAAGGACAGGGACAGGGAGCGCAGCCAAAGGAGCATGAGCATCGCCACGGGCTGCTGGGGCCGCAGCGCCGCGTCCCGCCTGGAGTCCGGCCTCTTGGGGCAGAAGTAGCCAGGCCAGAGCCAGGATTGTCAGCTGCAGCCACCGGAGGAGAAAACAAAAGGAAAGAGGGACGAGGCCAGTGTTTCGGGCTGGAAGGGTAAATATGGTGCTACTCTAATAACACGGTGTTCTGGGAAGAGACGGGATGTTTCCCACACAGAACGTGCAGGCCTTGCAGCGGGAGCGTCAGGTTTGTGTGGCGTGAGCCCGAGGAACAGCTGGAAATCGGGGGGAAGTCTCCAGATCAGGACGGCGCTCTCTCCTGCCTCCTTCTCTCATCCAGGGTCAGTGACTGTAAATACGTGCCTCCTCGCCTTGTTAGCCATCGCTCCGACACGGTGACCGAGTGCTGTCCTCAGAGCCGCAGGGACAGGGCATGAGGCTGGGGGAGCTGTTCTGGGCTGTCCCAGGAGTCAGACTGGGGGCTCTGGGGTCGGGTAATGCGCCGCTCCCCCGGCCCCAGCTGGGGATTTGCCGTGGGCTGTGCCAGGCAGAGCGACCGAGAGCTTTTCCTGGACAGAGAGCTCCACGTGCAGCCACTTTCCCCGAGGAGCTGGTGCAGTGCAAAACTAAAGCTGCATCCATGCTGTTGGCAGAGGCAGAATGTCGGCAGATTCGTGCCCAAGACAGCGGGGTCATTATTGTTATTACTGTTATTTTTTAGAGACCTTTTAGAAGCCGATGGAATTTAATGTGTTCACCTATTAAAAGAGGAATACAAGCTATTTTGTTTGAGCTGTTACAGACCTCAGACACTTAATTTGCTGTTAAAGTCTCCGAGTAGTCTCACTATGTATTATTTCCAACAAGTAACCACCATATATTTGGAAGCAGCTGAAGGCACTCAGCAGCTGGATTGCATTGCAGTTCTTCTCATCCAAATGCAGGGTCTGACTCTCAACACCCACCTCTGAGACCTTTCTTCTTCCCAGGTTCTCTCCAAGTTCAGTAGCAGCTTTCATGGGAACTAGACTCGCTTCTTTTACCTATAGTTACTGAACTGTAAAACCTCATTGTTTTTTGCACTGATGATTTTTAGAATGGAAACCTGTTACCATCTCATGTAGCTACACCAGTGTTTGTAGTGCATGACAATGAAATATTGCTAAGCCAGGGTGTGTGTGGATATCTATACATTATATACACACACACATATATATGTATATATTTAAAAAAAAACAAACAATCTGTGCAGAAGTTTTTCCAGCAGTAAGGAGACTGTAAGGAAGTGTGCCAACAATGTCAGGCAACCTTAAGAAAAGGCCATATCTTAATTTTTCTGGTGTGTTTCTCAGTGGATGTGCCTGAGACGCTGGGTTTGTGCTGCTGGAGCGAGCCGGCGGGCGCGTGGCAGAGGGCTGGCACCCCGGTGACACCACACAGGGACAGGGAACAGTGCCTGGAGCCAGGGCTTGCCAAAAAGCCCCTCAGTCCTGTCCCTCCCCGGGCCAGCGAAGGTTCCCTCCTTGCACACACCTCCTGGGGCGAGGGGCACCACACGGGGGGCTCCGGGGTGCCCATTACAGACTCCAGTTGGCCTCTTGATGTGGAGATTTTATAGTCCTACCGAGCTCCCCGACTGTGTGTAACCCTGCTTTCCCCACCACACCTTCCTGTCTTTGTATCACTTTCTACTTACGAGGATCTTATTTATAACAGAGAATTTTTTAGACTGGCTGCTTCATTTTCTTACCAGTTTCAATAAGAACGGTGCAGGACGGCCGCACTGAGATACACAGCACTGTGAACGCTGCTCTGCTCACTGCCTCTGGGCCATGGTAGACAAACCCAACTCATCCAACTCCTGTGTTCGTGGTGTGGAGGGTCCAGGCCGAGGCAGAGCAGGGACAGTGCGGAGCTGCCGCCGGCATCCGAGCCCCTGGAGCGCTCAGACCCGACTGCAAAACGTTTAAACCACTTCTCTTTGGTAATTATCCAATTACAGAATGTACCTGATGACTTTTTGTTATCAGAAACTGACTTCCCTTTCTGCTGACTCAGCTTGGCTCTCTCTGAATGTACATCCAGAGCTTTTACTGGGTTTGTAAACAATGTGAATTTGTCCCAGCTTTTTGCTAGCCGAATGTTCTATCAAACAGATGCCATCTGAGCAGGAAGCCAAGCCACAATCGATCCTGTGAAGTCACCAAACCACATCACTAAATAATTTCTGCAAATTTGGATATGGCCTTTGCAAAATTCACCTTTCCTCCAAGTCCAGAACCGAGGCATGATCTGTACATTTTCCAGTGTTGACGAGATGTTCACATTTTCTTATGTGTAGATAGTGTAAAACAGAGGCGAATGTAAATGTTCAACATAAAAAGTGGATATATAAAATTGAAAGTTATTTATTTATGTAGAGGAAAAAAAAAATGTCTGGAGGGACTGGAACCTTCAGGATTTATTAATATTTTAAAAATGTAGCTTTTTGTTTCAGGCATTATGTACAAAGCAATTATTTTATGGACCAAGTTTAATGTAACTGTCAATGAATGCAGAAGTGCAATATGATACTCACCCTCTCCATCACTCCATGTTTTAAACAGCTCCTAACCAGTTAGCCTGACAATCACAGCACCTCCGTCCTCATCCTCTGTTGAGCTTCTTGAACCTTGCCCGGGTCCTTTCCCTGGCCCCCCATCCGTTGCCATTGTACGGATCCAACACGGAGAAGCGATTGTAGAGCAGGACCTTTATTGCTGCAATAATACCCCGGGAGGTGGGTGTAGTTACCAGGAAATAATGCCACTAAGTTTTTCTTCACTGACTCAGTCCATCCCCGTCTCCATCGCTCAATCCTCAGCCGCCCCCATCTGGCACTCATCCCTCTGAAGCAGAGATGAGCACTCACAGAACAATAGCAATAGTTTAACTCTGTGTTTATAACCTGTTTGTCCCGAGCTGTTTTGGAGAGCAATGCATGTGACCCGATGCCTTTCCACGTGTATGGAAGAGGATCCGTCTGGACGTGGTGAGGGAAAGATGAATGTATATTCCATCCTTACTAAAGGGGCGCTGTCAGGGTAAAGACCTAATTTATCCTTGTTACGAGTAACTTGTTTGCTTTGAAAGGAGAGAATGGGAAGTTTCTTGTCCTCCTCCCTCGGCCGTTGTCTGGGCGGCCCTCGGCGCCAGCCCACGTCCTGTTCTGCACATCAGCACAACACAGCCTCGGGCTTTGGGGTTGCTTTTCCGTTTCCATGGGAATCAAACTCTGCTGCTGAGCTCAGATTTTTTATGAAAAGCAGCTTTTTATATTACTGCACCCTTAGGCCAGACTTTCTACCTGATGCTGTCCCTTTAAAGTCTTTTAAAAAACCAGTGAGGAGCCCGTGCATTCCCTCTGAGTCGTTTCCCTGGGTTTGCTCAGATCACTCTGTCAGATGAGGCGAAATCCTAATACCAAAAACCGTTTACAGTGTTGGGGGCACGAGCCCAGAGCAGAAATCAGCCAAAGGGTCACCACCACCACCCTCCCG